TTATATTATTATTATTATTGCATTACCATCAGGGGGCTTTGGAGAAATATCAGGGGTCTATTTCCCTTTTGAGATAGAAAAAAGAGATTGAGGACACAGATTTCTCAATCTCCTCCTCTGCAGCCCAGCACTCAATGAACAGGAAGCACTCAGTACAGAAGCTTTCTGTTCATTTACAAGGAGATAGTAAACATTTTCTATGTCTCCAGTTATGAATAACAGGAAGTGATACGTAGCGCTTCCTGTTCATTCGTCACTGGAGTCATAGTAAAAATGTACTATCTCCTCAGCTAATGCATAAACATTGGAGTAGTCAGTACTGATCACATATTGGCCATATCACTGATCATATATTTAACATATTTTCCAATCATCAGCTCGGCATCCTGAAGCTCTGCCTCCCTCTCACCTGTCACTGATCCTTAGCTGCCAATGCAGAAGGGAGAGAGAAGACAGAGGGGGACATGCAGGGGAGGATTGAGCGCTGGCAGTGGCAGCATGGGGAGGGAATATTTTGAATCAATGTCTGACAAGCCACTGATGGCAGCTATTCATTTACACAGGAGAGTCAGGGGGACCCTTCTGTTATAGGTTCATGGTCATAGGAGCAACCACGTAGCACAAGACTGAATTCAGCTGATGTAAGGCACGCTGAGCTGGCCATCAGGTAATATTTTTGTTTCTCCATATGCCTTACGTCAGTGGCAGGAAAAGGGTTAAAGGTAATGCTTTATAGAATGTTAGAAGTAGAGGAGATCCTGATCCTTAGAGGGAAAGACTGAGCAAAATCTTTACAGACAGGCTTACTACACTGGCTGATTCATTGTTTCAGCAAGTTGCAGTTAGAAAGTAGAAGAACGAAAAGAAGTTGAAAATCTGGTGCCCCATGGCCCTTGTGTGTGTTGTAAAGTAGTCACTGCTCCAAGCTCGCTTCCGTGATGGACTACAATCTCATGTTTAGTTTACTTATTTGTATTGAGATTGTAGTACATCCCGGGGGGGAGCTTGCAGCGGTGACTACTTTACAACACACACAGGGAACATGGGGAATAAAAGTATTCATACTCCAGAAGGAAGGACAGTGTCAGCACCAACTCAGAAATGACTGGAGGATCTACAGCCGAGTGATACACAAACAGGATACATTTTTATTAATAGTTAAGGTACTTGAATGTATTTTTAAGATTTATCTCCTAAGTTTAGTGTCACTTTAATTACTTTTAAAGAAGCCAATACCTTTGGTATTTATTATTTATACATTTATACCTACCCATGTCTCTGTCTTTTGTTCTGATTCATATTAATTCTACGTTACATTTAATGACTGTAGTTTTCTGTGGTTTGTATTCATGTCTCATCTCAGTTGTGGTTGATTTTGTGTTTTTTTTTATGGACAACCTATCACAAGCACTACTTTTATATTCTCAAGGCAAGCCTTTTATTTGGCTAAAATTTGTTATCTACAATTCACAGTTTTTTTCCGGCAATAAGTATTTTATATTTTTACTGAAGTGCTTTTCTTTGGGCTACAGTCGCCTTCACATTCAGCTCTGGTCTCATCAGAATGATGTAACATTTGGGAATGAAGATGCAGCCCAGGAGTCCAGCACTGGAGGACAAGATGGCGAAGACCTCCACAGCCACCATGTATCTCCCTTTGGTGCTGAGGTAGGCTGGGATGAAGGAGATCCAAACACTGCAGAAGACCAGCATGCTGAATGTGATGTACTGAGCTTCATTGAACGTGTCGGGAAGTTTCCTGGCTAAAAAGGCTACAATAAAGCTGAACACAGCAAGACATCCCATGTAGCCAATCACAATGTAGAAAGCAGTGACAGAGCCCTCGTTACACTGTAATATTATCTTCCCCACCTCTACTTGGGTGTCATACTCTGGGAATGGTGGGGAAAAGACAAACCAGAAGACACAGATCACAAGCTGTCCAGAAGAGCAAATAATCAGGAGGAAAACAGAGAATTGTTTCATCATACACTTGTTAATACTGTTAGGTCTGGTGACATTAAAAGCCAGAACAACAGTAACTGTTTTAGCCAGAACCGAAGAAACTGCAACAGAGAAAATTGTCCCAAAAACAGCTTGTCGGAGAAGACAGGAGATCTTTGTGGGACGTCCGATGAAGAGCAGAGGACAAAGAAAGGACAGGATCAGTGAGATGAGAAGGATGAAGCTGAAGGTCCGGTTATTGGCTTTTACTATTGGAGTGTCTTTGTGTTTCACAAATATCCCAAACATGATAATAGTTCCAAAACAGAATATTAGGGCCATAAACATAAGAGAAACTCCCAATGTATCTCCATAAGACAGGAATTCAATTGTTCTCTGTATACAGCTGTCTCTTCTCTCATTGGGCCATTGATCCTCTGGACACTTATAACACCTTTCCATGTCTGAAAGACAAAAAAATGTTCTTATGTTCAAGCTCATATATTTAAATGATATTGCTAATAATTTAAAGGCACAATGAGTAGAGAAAAAGTCATAGTTTTAAGTCTGATATTGTGTTATATTTAACTTGCCTGGAGCCGGGATCAGTAAATAATTTGTTGCATGTTTGTTTTTTGTTTTTTAATCTCACTCATAATTTGGTTTTCTGGGGACTCTCAAGTTTGTCTGGAAGTTAAAAGTAGGGATAAGCAACTTAATTTTACACAAACCATGGTTTAACATGGTTGTTATTGAATCACTAGAAATGATTGGGTTTGTGACAGGTAATGGTGACCTTTGGTGGGTCCTCATGCATCCTTGTAAGTCCTCCCATCCTTGTGTGTGCGCCTTCTTGCTTTTTTCCACAGCCAATAGGACTGAGATTTATCATTAGTCACAATTCCCATAGCAAGCTCGCTCCTGGGATGGCCTACAATCTTAATACAAATGTGTAAACTAAGCATGAGATTGTAGTCCATCATGGCAGCGAGCTTGGAGCAGTGACTACTTTACAATACACACAGGGACCATGGGGAACAAAAGTAGCCCCCCCCTCCAGAAGAAAGGACAGTGTCAGCACCAATTCAGAGATGATTTTAGGATCTGCAGCCGAGTGATATGCAAATAAGATTAAAAAAATTAAATAGTTAAGGTGCTTGAATGTATTTTAAGATTTAACTCCTGAGTTTAGTGCCCCTTTAGGGAGGAAGGATAAGGAAGACCATAGTATTGGAGATACCAACCTCTTTTATTGGTGATCTCATTCTCCGGGCAGGGTACACAGTGGTGGCAGCATGGTTGTCCTCCTTTGTGTTGATGTTTTTGGTATCCGGGGAGGCAGCTCTCGGAGCACAGAGAACGTGGAGTCTGAAGACATAATCCAGTTTAAATTCATATATTACACTTTATTTATTGTTTTGGATTTTCTTATAATAATGATAATAGGTTCTCTTATATGTATAGACAACCTTGTTGAACAACTTCCAAGTGATTATTTATATATTTATAGTATGCATTTATGCTGTCAACCATTCTACTGTTCCTTTATAAACACTTTCTAATGATGTTCCCGTTACTCTCCTTCCTTATTTCACTCATGGATAAAGCGTTTCTAAACCCAAAAAACTAAATGGAATACATTACAGCTTACCAGTCCTTAAATGTGGTGGCTGTATTTGTTTTCTTATTGAATATGAATATTTTCAGCAAGTACAGAGAATACCTATTGATTTTCTGTGAGCTGATCAGAAAGCAAAAACATTGTTATCTTTGTTCTATAAACTAGTAATCCCATCAACTAATATATATGGAGATGAACAATAGGAGTCAAAGTCCAGCATGTCTTAAAAAATGGCTCCCTCCATAGAAACAATGGGGAGATGAATGGAGACACAAAGGGACATTAAATGTGTTATTTGTTAAATTACCAGGTGAAAGTGAAGGAAAAAAGACTGAAAAATAAAAGCTAATTCACGCACCCCATATCAGGACTGGTAAGCTGCAATATATAAAAACACATTTTTGGGTGAAGATATGCTCTAAAATTGGCCAAGAATAATTGTGAATTGTTACTTGTTTTGTTTTTCTTGGGCAAGGCACTTTGTACATTTTAATTTTTATTATTTTTTGTAAATTCTATATTTATACAGAATAAAGACATTCAGACCCATTTGAAATACAGATAGGAAAAATGACAACTGAACAGGACAACATTTACAAAATAGGGATCAGCAGGTCAGAAACATAGGTGGAAGTAAGAACTCAGCATCAGTTTGGGTGCCTTGGAAATACTAAGAAACAGCCAAAATACCAAAAAAAGGACGTAGATATCTCCATCCGAATTTTTACCCAAGAGTTGCAGAGTGTAGCAAAGGAAGGTGACAAGAAGTCCCAAAAAACAAAACTTATTTTCTTTCAAGAAGTGAGCGGAGCTGTTTGGTGGGTTCTCCAGAATGGGGGTCATGTTTGTAGCGATGCCGATTGGAGCTTCTATAAGATTGGTTGTGTGGACCGCCTTTAAGGTGGGGCCAATCATGGGATGAGTGCTCAGCAGTTTTAGATGGGTTCTCAGAAGCCAAGATAAGTCCAGTGTACTCCTGCTCCAGGGCAACCCACAACTTAGCATCTGAGAGTTTACACCAGTCCAACAATCTGGCAAGGCATGACCTGTAATATTTGATGGGGTCGGGGAAATCCTATACCTCCATTCAGTTTGGGGTATGAGAGAAAACGCTAGTCTAGTCTAGGCATTTTCTTGTCCCATATGAAGTTAGAGAATTCTACCTGCAGTTTCCTGAGGAATGAAGGGGGAAGTAGGATCAAGATTGTCTGGAACAGGTAGAGCAGACACGGTAAGATGTTCATTTTAAGCACAGCATTTCTTCCAAACCATGTATAGGTGTCCTTGTGCCATCTGTGTAAGTCCACCTTAATGCTATGTAGCATAGGAGTGAAATTCGCCTCATACAAATTTTGCAGTTGGGGGTAAATTTTGTACCAAGGTTCGTAATGGGTTCTGTCACCCATTTAAAATTGAAGTTTAGTTTGGTCGCTTCTAGTCTCGATGTGGGCATGGTAACATTCATTTTTGGAAGGTTTTTTTTTGTGTTTTAAGGTGTTTTGTAGACTTTATGCATTTGACTCACAAATGTGTTTTTATTGATCAAAAATGCTTTGTTTTATTGTCAAAAAGTGTGGTAATTCAATAATGTTCTGCTCAACATTGTTTGAACTCCCTGCAGTCCGCATTCACCGATAACCATTCTTCTCAGTACACTAAAAGGCTCTACAGGGCAGCTAACTCCAACAAACTTATGTAGGTGTGATGTTCAAATGTTTCCAAAAAAGGAGAACTGGTCTTTTACAACTAAAAATAGCAACTTGCTGTAATAGATACTGTATATAAATAGTATGTCCTTAGCCCACATCATAGATGTTTCCATACAAATTAGGCTCAATATTCTTCAGGGCACTAAACTCAGGAGTTAAATCTTCAAACTGCATTCAAATACCAAACTAATTGGTGCTGACACTGTCCTTCCTTCTGGAGGGGGCTATCTTTGTTCCCCATGGTCCCTGTGTGTGTTGTAAAGTAGTCACCGCTCCAAACTCGCTCCCGTGATGGGACTACAATCTCACTACAAATTAGTTTACTAAACATGAGTGTGTGCGCCTTCTTGCTTTTTTCCACAGCCAGTAGGACTGAGATTTATCATTAGTCACAATTCCCATAGCAAGCTCGCTCCTGGGATGGCCTACAATCTTAATACAAATGTGTAAACTAAGCATGAGATTGTAGTCCATCATGGGAGTGAGCTGGGAGCAGTGACTACTTTACACCACACACAGGGACCATGGGGAACAAAAGTAGCCCCCCTCCAGAAGGAAGGACAGTGTCCGCACCTATTCAGAGATTATTTGAGGATCTATAGCCGAGTGATACACAAATAAGATATATTTTTGTTAACAGTTAAGGTACTTGTATTGTATTTCTAAGATTTAAAAGAGAACTATGGGATTAGGGCTTTTCCCCATAGTTCTCCTAAGGATAACGGGAGGACACCCAAAGCTCAGTATATCGCTAGCTACAGCTCACAGTATACTGAGATGCCGCAGCCGGACGGATCCCGACATTGCTGTCTGGATCCACCCAGCTGCTTGATTGACAGCTGGCTCTGACTATCTAGAGGCAGAGCCAGCTGTACCGGCCCCTCCCCCATCCACTCGCCAGTCAGCGCTGGAGGATCGGACAGGGGAGGGGGGGAATCCCTGCAGGGAGCCGTGAGTGACAGTCACGGCTCTCTGCAGGGATAGATCGAGAAGTGAGCGAGCGACGGTATGTGTTCGCTCACTTCCCGATCTATTGAGCTGACCGGTGACAGTTTCACTGTCACCGGTCAGCTAGAACAATGAGGCCGAGTGATTCATACTCGGCTCATAGTTCTACTTTAACTCCGGAGTTTATTGTCACTAAACTAATTTTAAAAAAATATGTGTTTAAAGGGAAATTATATTTATGAATACCTGAGAGAATTTTGGATTCCACTGAATTGCACTCTCATTAAGTTGGAGTTTCAATCCTTTCCCATAATTGTAAAAATATCCAACTGTAATCATTGATAAGGATTTATTAGGTGTAAATACGATGTTTAACAGATCAAACCTGGATGAGACTTTTCCTTCATTAAACTGTATCTCCTCTCCTCCTTTGGTTGCAATATGCGTTCTCCTCAGATATCTGTTCATCTGAAAATTGTATTTATTTATTACAGGTATTTATGTAGCGCATGCAATTTACGCAGCACTTTACATAATGCATTCACATCAGTCCCTGCCCTCAAGGAGCTCACAATCTAAAGTCCCTATCTCGCATAAATACATGCATGGTTGATTTAGAGAGGAGCCAATTAACCTTCCAGCATGTCTTTGGAGTGTGGGAGGAAACTGAGTAACTGGAGGAAACCCACACAAGCACAGAGAGAACATGCAAACCCCTTGTAGACAGTGTCCAGGCTGGGATTTGAACCCCCAGTGCTGCAAGGCAGAAGCACTAACCAATCCACCACTGTGCTGAAAATATGACTGGATACAAATTCCTATCTTACTCTCCTTTCCAATCCTTTCTTTTTCCATTATATTCTTTCTTTTTGCTTTCTTTTTTCCTTTTCTTTTATTAATTACATCAAAGATGTAATGGTGGTTGCCCTATGTGTAATAAGTGGGGATGCACTGATACTGGTGTGACGGACCGCCTGGTACCCCGACTGGGTACCTCCATCAGAAAATCGCTTCCTCTCCGCTGGAACCCGAATTCCAGTGTCCTCAGGCCAAACCTGCCTAATTATTGGACAGAACCAATATATTAGGACAGAACGCTAAACCATCATCATTAGACAACACCAATGTTGAGGTGGAAACCAAGATCTGCTTTATTGAAGACCAGCTCAGTATACAGGTGAAACTTGAATAATTAGAATATTGTGCAAAGTTCATTTATTTCATTAATGCAACTTAAAAGGGGAAACTAATATATGAGATAGACTAATTACATGCAAAGCAAGATAGTTCAAGCCGTGATTTGTCATCATTGTGATGATTATGGCTTACAGCTCATGAAAACCCCAAGAACCCCAAATCCACAATCTCAAAAAATGAGAATATTACATGCAATCAATAAAACAAGGATTGTACATAGAACAATATCGGACCTCTGAAAAGTACAAGCATGCATATGTACTCAGTACTTGGTTTGGGCCCCTTTTGCAGCACTTACTGCAATTACTTTTGCACGATATTCTAATTATTCGAGTTTCACCTGTATATACAGTTCAAGAAGTCTAAACACATAACGCAATCAAACATGAACAGCATGCAAACAGACACCCCCTCCCCGATGCCTTAATGAATGAATAGGGGGAGAGGAGACACATGTGATGGGATTATCTCCTGAGTTTATCATAGGGTGATCTACTCATCTACACCTGGAGTCAGCTACTCCTAGAATCAGCTATCCTAATCCCATCATCAACACAATACAACAAAGGGACCAATAAACTGTAACAGTTCAATGTCCAGAATTATCCCCCTTCAGTGCTCCTGGATTCACAGCCTGTACCTATAATAAACACAGGGTCATCCAAATGTAATGGCAGGGAAAATGTGCAGTACATCCCTCCACACATAAACCTGGTAGAATGGTTCATTGTAACCCCAAGAGGTCTGAGGGGGGTCTCCATAGTTCTGGGTCCATAGTCAGTAGGAAGGAGGCTAGCCCCCAGGCTCCTCCAACAGCACCAGTGACCGAGTCCCGAGTACGAGTACCGATATTTTTTTCCGGTACTCGCCGATACCGGATACCGATACCGGAAGTCCCATTAAGGAAGCCAGGCGTCATGCAATGACTCACCACCTGGCTTCCTGATTAGCCGGGAAGCCAGACGGCATGTAAAGACTCACCACCCGGCTTCCCAATTAGCAGGGATGCCGTCCCCATGCTTCTCGTCACTAGGTGACAAGAAAGCATGGAGCCGGCTTTCTGGCCAATCAGGAAGCCGGGCACCATGTAATGACGCGGCGCCTGGCTTCCTGATTGGCAAGGAAGTCAGCTCCATGCTCCGTCGTCGTGAGGTGATGAGGTAGCATGGAGCCAGCTTCCTGGCCAATCAGAAAGCGAGTGCCGGGTCATTACACGACGCCAGCTTCCCAACCAATCAGGATGCCGGGCAGTGAGTCATTACACACTGCCTGGCTACCTGATTGGCCGGGGATCCGGCTCCATGCTCCCTCGTCACAAGTGACGAGGGAGCATGGAGCCGGCTTCTTGGCCAATAAGGAAGCCGGGCACCGGGTACAGAC